GTTGATTTGGGGTCTGGGGGCTGAAGGAGGGTTGAGTAGGTTCCGAGGTTTCGGTGCTTAAGTACAAGGATTTAAGAGGGTTCTGTAGGTTTCGGGGCGTTTGGGGTGGTTTGCTTAGATTTGGGGGTCTCGGCTTGAGTAGAAGGGTTAGGTTTGGGGGGGTTTGGGGGGGTCCCACCTCGAACCCGAGTCTGGGCAGTCCTAAGCCCCTTAGAAAGCCTCTTGAAAGCGTAAGGTTGCTGTTCTCAGCCCAAAAGCACAAACCTTGGGTAAATCCCACTTAGAACCCGCGCCAGAGCCCTCTTAAACCCCTCGCAATACTCAAGAAAGTAAGGTCTTGGGTTTCGGGTTAGGGGGGTTGAGATCAAGCTCAAGAGGGATTTAGCGTCTAGGCGTAATTAAAGGCGGTTTCGGGTCTAGGGAAAGTTTCTGGCCAGGGTTTTGGGGTTTGCAGGGGGGTTCTGGGCTTTAGGGTCCGCTGGTTGCAAACAGTGCAGCACGCTTCACGTGCTCAGTCAAAAGCGCTGCAGTCTGGAGCTTGGCTGAAGGGGTTCAGGGCTTAGTGCATTGCAGTCCCTGCTCAAAAAAAGGGTCCAGGGCTTTACATTTAGGGTTCTTTCAGGCTTAAGTAAAGGGAGGTTGAGATGAGGCTCAAGGGGGATTTAGGTTTCAGGCTTTGGGGCAAGTTCGGGTTTAGGGAGAGTTTCGGGCTTCAGGGCCAGGGTTTTAGGGTTTGGAGGGGGTTTTAGGTCGCGACTGCTCTAAGATTGGCCATTACTAGAAGGGAAGCTTGAATCAAAAAATGCATTAAAGAGGCAGAACTTGTTAAATAGGCCGGCACATTTATCCTGCGCATATGTCGCTTCCAACTCGGTGACGATGTTTCCGGTCCTTTGTCTATTTTCACTAGCTTCGCACTGGGTATTTACTCTATTCCCCTGGCTTTGCGAAATTTGACTTTCTGGGGTGGGGTCGGAGGGGGTGCTGACGTTCATGTTCTTATACCAGAGGGGCTTGGTGCTTCTTGTCCAGCTCGTGCTGCCACTACTTCAACTGTTACCACTACAAGACTACTACTCCTGCAAATGCTACGATTGTTGCTGCTATGTGGGATGGGTTGGAGGGGCTCATGTTCTTCATGTTCTTAAAGCGACAGGGGTATAGACTCTGATCTAAACATTTGTTTGGTCAAAACAAATTCATTCAACATGATTTCTGCCCTGTGCTATCAGTGTGCAAGCGATGGAATTCGGCAGCGGCGAGTGTAATTCTGACTCTCCTAACGTCGCCAGCCACATGCCGAAACACATCGCAAAATGCTTGAACATTCAAATGAAAGTACCAGAGGTCCCAGTGAAGCTTAGACCCGTCTGGGACCCTTGTGAAGGCTTCGGCCTTCGTCAGGTCATTGGACGTGTCAACTCCTTTCACCCCTCTAGGCGAACACGAAAGCACAGAGTCAGCGGCAGATACAGTGAGTACCACCAGCATCACCAGCGCCACCAACAGCACCACTACCATACCAGCGAGATGCAATGACCGACGAGAAGAGGGAGCAATATCACGATGATCACGATGATGAAGATGATGGTGGTGATGGTGATGATGATGATGATGATGGCTGATGATGTTGGTTGATGAGTTACAGGAACAACACGAAGGGGATTCCTAGCTAGTCTCGAAAGCCCCGCGCCGCCGGGCAATGTTTTACAGTTGTGCCGCCTGCTCGAAATGCCTCACGTGCTAGGCCAGGGAACAGCCCCGCGCAGTGTAGTGTAGTTGCATTTGCTTGAAGGACATTTGCAGCGCACCCCGGTGTTAGCATCTTGGTGCA